GTTGGCATTGGGGGCAGTTTCCTCCACCTACATTTTGAAAATACTAAAATCTCAAGTGATGCCTGCTGATTCGTTAGCTTCGACCTACAAGTTGGAGCTTGAAATCAGGCGGGGTCTAATATCTACATGCACACATGTTGGAGCACAATACTACCAACATCTTCCTCATTTTCACATGCCAGCCTATGCTGTTTCGGTATTTGAAAGTGATTGAGTCAACGGTTTCCAAGCAGTGTGGTTTGGATACAAATATCTAACTATTTATGACGATGTATAAATTAAACAATATTTTTTCAGAACTCTCCAAGAATGATAGGTCACATCATATTGATTTACTAATAGCAATGAAATGAATGCAAATCATTTTCCAACCAAAAGCATACAAACTCACCTAAATGCAGAAAATGCATTCACAAAAATTTCGAAATGCATATGAACTTGATAACAGAACATGTTAATCAACCGTTATATGTACATGTTGATGGACGTAACTTCTAAAAACTTGTCAATCTGAATAAACAAACGACTGGCGATCCTATATTTGAAATATCTTTATTTTTCATTTATAAGAGGAAATTTGCATCAAAAGCCACTGTATAATAAATATATTAAATGCTTTCATTTTAGCTATACCTGAGCTATGTCCAAATGACATCAATGTCTTACAACTAATGACAATGTACCAATGAGTGAGTACTTTCAGAACTCTCAAAATGAAGCAAAAGATGAGTGAAAAGTCTCATCAGATATTAGTGCACTGTTAAGAGCAATCAAGTGAGTGTAAATCATTGTCCGCACAAAATCGAACAAACTCAGATTGATTCAGATGTCTGTAGTTGCAATCAAGTTAGGTCCGACAAATGTTTAAAAATGCGTGTAAGTAGCATATATAAAATGCGTACGTGTTAGTTGCAGGTGAGAATTCCTCACAAGAGTCTAAGAATTTGACATTTTGCTTGTTAAAACCTCCAAAAACAAGAACTGCATGATCTCGAGCCACTGCAGAATGACATTCTCTCTCCTCAATCATTGATTGGAGTGCAATCACTTCACCATTCTGTGGATTTATTCTATTCACTCTTGATGTAGACGTACCGGACTTGAAAAGGCCACCCAGAGTATAAACACTACCTACAAGGAGTAAAAAAGAGTAATTGAGAGTAAGCAATCGAAGTTAGATCCAACCATCCAAAGCAACTGTGCAGGTGCCCAATCGATGTTCGAATGGGAAAGAAACGTTTCGTCCTCCACTAAGTTCAGAAATCGCCTCCAAAACTCCACTTCTTGGAGTGTCTTTACGCCCATGAAAACAGATCATCGATTTCGAGCTGCGACGACAAAACAGTGCATTATGCATTTCAAATCAAGTGTTATAGAAAAATATGAGAGTACCTTTCCTTTTTCGTTTCATTCAAATTCATAAATGTGTCCATAAATGTTGACCTAAAGAACCAAATATTCGATAATGGGATTGACATTTTACCTTGCACTTTCCGACAAGTTGAAATCCGATCCACTAACTGACGCTTTCATTACAACCTCTGTTGGCAATTTCTTCATGTCGATCAACTTGAGAAGAGAACGAAAATGCTTTTCCATTTTAACGTGCTCGTCATTTAAGGAGCATGCGTGCAACCATGTACAGATTGCCTTGAATTTCAATATTTCTTTTCCATCACAAATCCAGGAACTTTGCAGTAAGGTTTGAAGTTGGTCAACACCTACGTGTTGAAGGAAGGGCTGGTTGGAGGCTAATCTCTCGAAATCGCACGCTACCCTTGGTGTGCAGGCGGCAATGAGATCTGTGTTTGAAGTGACATTTGCTGCCGACCAAACATCCATCAAATTAAGTCGATCAAGTCTACAAGACAATGGCCGCTTGCGCATGAGTGATGGGTGGTACGTTTTTTCATCCTTTGCCACAAACTCTTATTCTATTACTCATCTTTTGCTTTTCTTTTGAACTTCACTTCACTAAAACTAACACTCCTACACACGCACACGCACATGCATTATGTTTATTTCGGTTGCAATAAACGAACCTTGTCTTGATGAACTCCGTTGTCCAGTCAATCAGCTGTTTGCAGCCAAGATTGTGGGCCATCAGATATATCCCCAATACGTTTTCAACATTTATGATTATTTCACCAGTGTAGGCGAAATCGACGGCTGCCATAACAATACTAACGAGTTGGTAATGGAATCAGGATAAATGACCTACTCATATGGAAAACGACTCCAATTTGAGAGGTTTGAATGTTTGCTCTCTAAGATACTCTTCTTTATTCCTGGGAATTGTGCACAAAGGACAAGTTTGTGGGCAGGGATAGGAGTGCCACCTTTGGTCTGGAATGAGAAAAGATGTCTCTTCAACCAAAATATGTACTCACTTGTATATTCAAATCAATTAGGCTCATTTCTTGTCGCAATAGATTGAACCTATTTGCAAAGTTGCGTAGGAAGACTTCATCGAAATTTCGGATCTCAGTTGGGAATTGCATCGATAATACAATTATTGCAAAAAGCTGTGGTAGGTTGCGATGAGAATGCAAAAGTGGCAGACTTTGGTGAGTAATTAAAGCAGTGGAATAGCACACTTACCCTTTCATAGCCAATAAAATTGTGTCTAATACCCTACAGTTGGCACATCCTTGATATAAATTTTCTGGTACTCAAATTGATGTGTGGTAGTTTGTGAAGAAAATGAAACACAATTTAATTTGCGTCATAAGGAGCGGAAAAATGAATTGCGAAACAAATTGTATTTTTTAAAACGAATTTGGCATCCAGAAGTTACATGGAACTTGGGTTTTGCATGGGAGAGGATATGATTCGGTTCAATATGTTGCAGCATGATTTCTCCTTTTTATTTTCACTTTGCTTTAGACAATACTCTTTTTGAAGATTAATTCTATTAATGTAACATGTCTTGTCTTACACTGATTGTTGAAATCGAGTTCAACACAAGCATAAATTTACTTGGGGGCTGATCATAATTTGTTTGATGTCGGCAGTTTGAGCACGTTTCAACCAAGTAATCATATGCTCTCTCAAACATTCTGTCTAGGTGGATTTCGATTTGGAGACTGCAGGATAAAACCAGATTTGCACAATTGAAGGGAAAAATTGATCCCACGGTATTCCCTGTATACACTGCTTATTAGAGAACTGGCTGTAACGGTTGCAATAGCACGTGTATATATTGCATTTCAAACACTTTAATTGGGTTTTAGGAGTTTTTAATGATCAAATAATGTCTCATGAATAATATATGATGCCTATATGAACATCTTGCAGGTAGGAATAGGTGAATTTATCTGCACAACAACAGAAAGAGCACTCGCTAAGGAAAGCATTCAAACATTTCGATTTGATAAACCGACTGTTAATAAGCTGAAGCATCTCAATATCGTGGCATCTCTTTAATATTTTCCAATAAAAGCCTATATTTTTGAGTTTCGTAAATATGTAAACTTTTTGATTTGTTGAGCTCTAATGCTACCTTGAAACCTACCTATCCACTCTAATTAAATTTATATTAAATCTAGAATCTTCCAGAGATATGTATTTAATGGAGATGAATGCACTTAAACTAATTAGTGTGCATGAATTTGTGAGTTTACTAACAATTTGGGCCAGTTTAATTTGGTACGAACTTAAGTGCGACTAAGCTACCTTACTTAAAATTTCAATATTTATTCTCAAATGTAACTCACACTTATTGCTACGTACATTTTTATGGTAAAAATAAAAGAACATTGACATATTTCATTGGAAACATGTTGTAACGTTTCGCCAAACATTTAAGTTACCCCTTCTGAACACATATTCTACTGAATTTTGTCAGACGTTTTTACATTTAGTTGTAACATATTAGAACCGAAAACATGCACGAATTACGGATTCTTAGTTGATTATATCTCAGTTATAGTTTTTCGCTTTTAACAATGCTCAGTAGAGTTTTTTAAATCTATTCCTTTTTTTAAATGTATTGAATAAAGTCTACTTAAGCATAAAACTGTAATCCCTTGTCTTTAGAGCTTCGATTGCTGTTCCGTTGACCACCATAACAGGGATATAAATTTCTACCTTGCCTACCTTCAATTTTAATTCGATTAGAGGTTTCTTAAGAGACATCTTACAGATTATCATGTGCTTTTCATTTCATCGCGCCATATTCTGCACTATGCGAAACACATATTTCAAATTCGTTGTGCAACCAAATTATGTGCTATTTGTGAAGCTAAACCATATGGTTTTCCATTCACTTCAAAACCTAGCACACATCAAGTCGCGAACCAAGAAATTTATGAAAAAATATGAGCCGAATGCAGTGTATTTGCTAAGATCTAATTGGTTACAAAAGGATGAGTGCTATTGCAGTCATGCGATTGCTCTCCAAAGTGTGCCACTTTTTCATTCTAATCGAAATCAACAACTTTGTTTTTCAATTGAATTATCAACGGTGCAATTTACTTCTAAGTTCCCAAAAAAATTGATTAATACCTCATCACTAACTATGTAGATAGGTTTGATGAATTGCCACAAGAAGTTGCACTAATCGATTTGGCAATACCTGTGAGTGCATATTTTCATAGAAGCTGTTACCTGTCTATTTCTAGACCTAAGATTTCGCAGTTATTCCTGTTCATAAACTCGTTCATTGTGCACAATTTAAGGCAATGAAGAACAGTACCGAAAATAATAAACAATCCAATCTCTCAAATTGCAATAGTTTTCACATGTGTTAGTCATCTGTCTCAATTACTATATCAACTCATTAGTATTGTTATGGCAGTCATCGACTTTGCCTACACTGTTGAAATAATCATAAATGTTGAAAACGCATTGGGGATACATCTGATGGCCCACAATCTTGGCTGCAAACAGCTGATTGACTGGACAACGGACTTCATCAAGACAAGGTACATTTTGTCTAATCAAAATAAAGATAATTCGTGTATGTATGTAGCAAGTGCTCACATCTTGAATGTCAAGTGTTTTAAAAATCAATAATTATTTGAGGAATATTAGTGAAGCGGGTTTCGTAACGAAATAACAAATATTGGTGAAAAATGATGGGTGATAGAATTATTATTTCTGCCAGAGAATGAAAAGAGATGAGTCCCCTCTAACAAGGTCTGATATTTTGGCAATTATCACTACGCTCATGAGGTAATCGTCTTGAAGACTTGATTGACTTGATTTGGTGGATGTTTGGCCAACAGGAAGTATCACCTCAAACACCGATCTCATTGAGAAGGAAAGTGTGTGATTTTGGGAGATTAGCCTCCAACCAGCACTTCCTACAACATATAAGAGTCGATCAACTTCAAATCTTGCTGCAAAGTCTCTGGATATGTAAAGGAAGAGAGATTTCAATTTAACTGAAAGTGCCATGTACTGTCTCTTTCTCATAACTGAATACTAGGTCATTTAGGAGACACTGCCATGAAATTGAATGAGCCTGTATTGGAAAGGCACGATCGAATTCACTTGTAACAGAAAATATGAAATACGTAACGTATAGTTTTGCTATTGCAGAAAGTAATCAGTAATCAATGTTCATGAACGGGAAGACGATACAAGAGGCGGTGTTTTGGCGGAAGTTGCTAAACTAAGTTGAGGAAGAAATTGTTTATTCCTAATCATCTCTAGAGCTACCAGCCACACTGCTGCTGCATGCAATGTTAGGAACATACTTTACTCCTTATGGGTTGCGTTAATGCTCTGGTGGCATAAAACAGTTTTGAAGGAATTAGATCAAGAGTGGAAAGAAGTAATCTATAGAAGGGTGAAATGACTGGGCTTCAATCATATCTGCAACCAATCTGTATGCATTTTATATTCAACTTGTGCGTATTCCAATATAATTTGTCTGGGTAGTAAATGCTTTTCTGCATTAAACTGAGTGTGACTACAGAGTTGCATAATGTCTTACATTCACTTGATTGTTATTGGCACTGTTATAATTTAACGAAACAATATTATACTATCAAATGTTTTTATTATCCTAAATTATGTGGACGAATCTGTACCATATGCACACCCCTAGGTTTGAGACAGGCGTGGAATATATAGCCTGAGTTGGTGGGTGCACAATAGTTGGTCATCGACAATGTGGAAATCTTTTTTGATATGAAACGCTAGAATGCTTAATTTAGGAATATTTTCATCAGCAAAAATTTTAATGGCAATGCTTACGTTGCTAGTTATTTGACAAATTCAACGTCTTCTGTGGAACACTCGTCCATATTTACCGAAGGACCTGCCAACCGATAGACCAAAGTGATTAATTTCGCTTTCGAACTAGAATCCATAACTTCTTTTAATAGGAGTCTTTTCATGGGAGTGTATCAAATTCAATCTTGTCGTATTTTTTTAAAGGAAATGGTAATTTTGCAGTGTAGAAAATTGTGATACGTCTACAATGTGGCTAATTTTGCACCAGTCATGAGATGAAGGAACGGTGGTCAATTTGAAGAAGTGAGTTCTCATTCCCAATGTTTGAATTGCTGGACCGAGTTAAGAAATGTCATCACAACTGGATTCTTGGCAAATCGTTTCCATGGCCCTGTGTATTTGCACTCAATTTCTTTCTTGGTGACTTGAAACAACTCAAAATTCTGCATTTACGGATAACTGCCTTTCGAATTGTCTTTCGAGAATTTAGCACAATTTGTTTAATGTCGCCAGTAGCCTTTCATAATTGATTGTACAAAGAATTATATTTTGTAACCGATATTAATATCCTCACCAAATACATAAGTGTTTCTGTCATAAGGTTTATTATAATTGCATTTTACCACCTGAATTGACATACTCACAAAAAACTGGTTTAGATAAGTAGAATGCAGATTGAGAATAGTAAGTAGATAAATGCGAATTATTTTGATGACGAGAGAAATGTTTGCCAAAGTTTCTCATGAGTTGTTCTCGCTATTTGACATTATGAAGACGGTAACCCGAAAACGATTAAATCTAGAAATCCGATTCCCTCTCAAACATTTCTAATGGTGAGCTGTCGTGTGAGTACAGAGGACTTCTCAACCAAACTGATATTAGTGTTTATTCTAAAGTAAATAAATTGATTAGTCATTCAAGGTATTTCTCTGTTCTCGAA